CCTGCCCTATCCGGCCCTCCCCGCTCGTGCGCGTGATCATGGCGGCCCTGCTTCACTGGAGGCAGTACCTGATTGGCTCCATCGTGTTCTCCGGGACATGCACGGAAATGCTTATGGCCGTCGGGTTTTCGGCCTCGCTTCTTCTGCCGGATGCAGTTTTTTTCGGGGCCGACACAAATTGAAATGACGATTTTGTCAAGTCATCCTTGACTTCTCTTCCCCCCCTTCTCTTTCTGGAGTGCGTGTCCGGTCATGTTCGSCAACACATAACCCCACAACGGATGCACGATTCTGCCAGACTTCCCGTAAACTTTTCACTCCCACACCGCGGCGTGATCTGAGTCGCTAGGCACAGAAGCTGCTTGGCCTTTTCTCTGTTTGTTTCGTCCCTTTTTTTTTTAATGTATTTTTTTTTTTTCCCGGCCCTTCCCCTTAGCCCTTTGTGTGTGGAAGGGACGGAGATGGGACGGACTTTTGAGGTGTCGAATTTTGTGGGGGCAGCAGATACCGCGCACGCGCACTACCACTCGGGCGTAGGAACGGCCCCGAGAAAAGGGGGTCTCCCAGGATCGAAGGTCCACAGGCGTCTTATTGAGAGCGGAAAGGGATGAGGTCCCGAGGGGGACATCGGCATTGGGGTCTGTCCAGTCAGCTTGCTGGAAAGGGACATGTGCAGGTCCCTCGGCGGATGGCTCAGTCAGCACCCTCCTGATGTGCCAAACAGTCGGTGGTTGGCGGTTCGGAGTCCCGTTTGCACTCTTATAGGGGACTGCGTGCTTAGCAGCCCCCTTGCAGTCGACGAAGGCGACGTTCCGGGCGTGGGTTTTGGGACCTTGTACTCGAGTTACGAGGGACTCTCTGCACACGCGTCGGGTGGTTTCCAGTTTGCGAGGGACGGGCGAGTCGTGCTTTGGTGGTCGAGCGAACATTTTTGCGGCGCCGTTCGGTTCCACGGTCGTCTCTCTCGGAGGGCTTATTTCACGACAGCTCGGTCGTCGTTGGCGGCGGTCGCGGCTGTCGGGGCTTCTGTGTGTCCGATCAACGCTCAACGGGATTTGTACAATGGAGTTGAACCCGTTGTACATCCCCGGGGGGGCCGTTGAATTCCCGTTGAACGGTACAACGGGGGCTTCCCGTTGTATTCCGATCAGCGGGTCCGGCCCAATGCGCCGCGGACACGTGGAGGACCCCCCGTGGAAAAGAAAAAGGTAAAAAAAAGAAGTGAAAAACTGCCCTCTATGAGTGTGTGTGTGTGTGTGCGTGTGCGTGTGCGTGTGTTCATGTGTGCTTGTGTGTGTGACAGTGTGTGTGTGTGTGTGTGTGTGTGTGTGTGTGTGTGTGTGTGTGTGTGTGT